CTCCCAGGCCCCAGCGACCGTCGCGACCGCCGACCGGAGTTCCTCACTTCTTCTCTTCTCCCCCTTCTTCGTTTGAGCAGCCGCATCTTGTTGGACCAACTCCAGACTTCAATTGAAGACGAAAACCAAGCCTCGAGTCTCCATTTCAGCCTCCATTTCACGACCCATCTGCTCCAAGCTTCCAACTCCAATCCTACCCCCTGCTCCGCCTCACCTCCGGCCTCCAGCCCTGACCACCAGGGCCCTCCGTTAGTCGATTTCACAGTTGAAATCGACGAATCGCTAGCACAAATGCACAGTAGCACCCGTAAGTAATACGGCTTTATGCACTATTGAAAATTCAAATTTGAGTTGATTGTTTTGTTCAATCATTTGATGATTGTTTCTATTTTGTGTTTTCCATCTTTACAGAGGTGAATTGAAATTTGGGTACACGGCTTCACGCTTCAGCCTTCCCTGGACTCTGGTTAGTTTACTGCCTTACTGTGTCTGGTTAGTCACTTTGCCTCTGTGACTGTTATGAATTGAAATTTAGGTTGATTGTTTATTGAAATTTGGGTATTGTTGTGTAGAAGTTGCTAAAGTGTGGGTATTACTGGATTGAAATTGTTGGATTGAAATTGTTGCAATTTGAGAATTGTTGAAATTTGGGTATTGTTGTTGAGTAGAAGTTGCTGAAGTTGGGGTATTAATGGATTGAAATGGCTGAAATTTGGGAATTGCTGGATTGAAGTAATTTGGGAATTGCTGGATTGAAGTTTGGGTATTGTTGGCTGAAATTTATGAAGAGATTCTTTCAAAGAAAAAATGATTTGGACAACGTAAATGTTGACGGGGGGATCCCGGGGACATCGAATAATGTAGAATTTGATGTCACTAAACTTCCAACTGATCCTGGTTTAAGGATACCCATTTTGGATTACAATGCTAACATTCGAGATCAAGTTCGAAGAGCATATATGTTAAAGGGTCCTTGTCAGCCACATGATCATGACTTTCCAAAACGACAATTTGGAGTAAAAGCTAGACGATTCAATCCTTCTTGGTTTAAAGAATTCGGTTCTTGGTTGGAGTATAGTGTACAAAAAGATGCTGCTTATTGTTTGTATTGTTATCTGTTCAAATCAAGTTCTGGAAAGCAAGGTGGTGGTGAGAGTTTTGTTGGTGAAGGTTTTACATATTGGAAAGAGAAGAGAAGACTTCAAATTCATGTTGGAGATCATGATAGTGCACATAATCACGCTCGCATTAAGTGCGAAGCTTTGATGAATCAAGATGAACACATTCAATCAGTTTTTCACAAGCAGTCAGAACAAGTACGAAGTGCATATGTTACCCGTCTTAATGCATCTATTGATTGTGTTCGACTTCTATTGAGACAAGGACACTCATTTCGGGGACATGATGAGTCTAGTGATTCTCTCAATCCAGGCAATTTCTTAGTCCAATTAGAATTTTTGGCTGCTCATAATGAAGACATAAAAGCTGTGACATTTGGAAATGCTCCTCAAAATTGCAAATTGACATCACCCGATGTTCAAAAGGATATAGTGAATGCTTGTGCCGTTGAGACAGTCAATGTTATTATCAAAGATCTTGGCGATTCATTATTTTCTATTCTAGTTGATGAATCTCGTGATGTGTCAATGAAGGAACAAATGTCAATTGTAATACGTTATTTAGATAACTGTGGGCATGTGAATGAACGCTTCATAGGGATTGAACATGTCTCAAGTACCACGGCTTTATCACTGAAGGCTGCAATTGATAAGGTATTTTCTAGATATAACTTGAGCATGTCTAGATTGAGAGGACAAGGTTATGATGGGGCAAGTAATATGCAAGGCAAATTTAATGGTCTAAAATCACTAATTTTAAAGGAGAATCCATGTGCCTTTTACATTCACTGTTTTGCTCATCAACTCCAGTTAGCTCTTGTAGCTGTTGCGAAGAAGAATATTCCTATTACTAACTTCTTTCGTGTAGTCGGTGATGTGGTAAATACTGTTGGAGCATCTTCTAAACGTTGTGATCTTCTTCGAGAGAAGCAATCAGACTTTATTGTTGAGGCTTTGGAGAAGGGTGAGATTTTAAGTGGACGGGGACTTAATCAAGAAACAACCCTTCAACGTGCTGGTGATACGCGATGGGGTTCACACTATAATTCATTGGTCAGCTTACTTGCCATGTTCTCTTCTGTTATTGATGTACTTACAATGATTGTTGAGGATGACTCTTGTTCTTGTGACCAAAGATCCGACGCGACAAATTTATTGGAGTCGATACAGACATTTGATTTTGCATTTCATTTACAATTGATGAGAAGTGTCTTAGGGATTTCAAATGAACTGTCAAAATCATTACAACGGAAAGATCAAGACATTGTGAACGCAATGCAATTGGTGAAGTTATGCAAACAACGACTACAACTAATGAGAGATGAAGGGTGGGACTCCTTCTTGGAAGAAGTATGTTCTTTCTGTCAACAGCATTATATTGATGTACTCGACATGGATGAAATGTTTGTACGTCGTGCACTTCGTGGTCGCCCACAACGGAATCCTCCAGAACTTACAAATTTACATCATTATCAGGTCGATTTGTTCTACTCTGTCATCGATCTTCAACTTCAAGAATTGAATGATCGATTCTCAGAGGTAAATACAGAGTTACTCATGTGTATAGCTTGTTTATGTCCACAAGATTCATTTTCTTCTTTTGACAAGAAAAGTTTGATTCGACTTGCTGAGCTTTATCCATTAGATTACTCTCCAGTGGATCTTGTTGTACTTCATGATCAACTGGGGACTTATATTTTTGACATGCGCTCTAACAAAGAGTTTGAAGGGTTGAACGGCCTTGGTGATCTTGCAGAAAAGTTAGTTCTGACAAAGAAAAATATGGTATATCCATTGGTTTACAAGCTTTTGACTTTAGCATTGATTCTACCGGTTGCTACCGCTACTGTGGAGAGAGTATTTTCTGCAACGAGCATTGTAAAGGATAGATTGCGTAATCGGATGGGTGATCAGTGGATGAATGATAGCACAATTGTTTATGTAGAGAAAGATATATTTTTGAAGCTCGATAATGAAGTTATTGTACAACGATATCAAAATATGAAAACTCGAAAGGAACAAGTGTAATTTATAAATTATGGCATTTGTAATATTGTCGTATTATTGTTTTGTACTTTTATTATCATTTCATCCATGACAAAAATTCGACGTTCAATGTCGATAAGTTGTGCCCCACCTGAGGAGAAATCCTGGCTCCGCCCCTGCTCTTAGTCATTTTTTCTTCAAGTTTTCATCCAAATTTGGTCATTTTTCATCCTAAACTTCAATTTTGATGTCGAAATGTTCGACATCTTCAATGTTAATCCCCAAAATTTAATTTCCTTACTTTCTAAAACCGGAATTTAACCTCTAAATCTTGTGATTTTCTTTGAATTACTCTCTTTTTACGTCTAGTGACTTCCATGCTATTCGATTAGGCTTTATTTGCTCCAAACCAACTATGAATTAGCTCAAAATCACCCCTTTTTAGTGCTACTTACATCTCAGTAGAAGTTTTCATACAATTAAAATATATTACATAAAATTAAGCACATATCCTCTCAATATAACAATAAATAATTAAGAATAAAAGCCCCAAAGAAGAACGTAAGAAGCACCTATCAATTTGCAAATAAAAGTTTGAAGGTCCAAACCAAGTTACACTACAGAATGTGTTCACCTATGGTTGATTTCGGGTTTTGATTATAACAAATAAATTATTTTTATCTCTAACATTTACATTCAAGTTTTCATTGACGCATGTTGCGAACCTGGTGGAAATCGAGCATTCACGATCAAGTTTGGAAATCGAGCACGGAAACAAATCAAGCATTCGTACTAAATTCAAAATCGAGCAACAAAACGTGCACCCGCGTCAAATCAATCGAAGACATTAGATCTAGATAATTTGAATTTACATGTAAATGTAAAATGCTTTAATTCTTAGCAACTAATCACTTCAAGCTTGCAAGTTACATTTTTATGCATGAAATAAACGTTTCTCAAAAGCACTTGCACAGAATTATTTTCGATATGACAAAAATCTTCACTTAACTTTTTTTTACCCATAAAGTTATTCTTGGGCTATTAGAACAGACCATGGGAGACGTTGTTTGTACCATTTACCATAGAGCTACCGTTCGCAACTGCATAGTGATGCCGGAACCACCTTTTATAACTTTATAGGATCATATAAATATTAGAATAAATTGCAAGATCAAGAATAAATCTTGTGGTAGATCAGAAACATTGAAATTGTCCTAGGAAATCAATTGTCAAGTTTTAAAAATTTCCCAAAGTATGAATTGATGCACATATCCTGCCATTCTTGAGGCCAAAACAAACCCATCTTGTCACTCTATGTTTGTCACATAGGTGGACTTTGCAACAAAGATGTCTTTTTCCCCTAGGTCAGGGGATAACCTAGCGATGTCAAAAAGGCTCGGTGGCTCGGGCTGAGCTTCATTTTGGAGGGTTGGGTCGAGCCCGAGCTAGCCCGTGGCTCGTTATAGGCCTGTGCCACTAGCCGAACCGAGCCTTAAAAAAATAAATTAAAAAATACACTAAAATTACAGTTGCTTGCGTTGTCTTTTTTTTTTTTTTTAATTTTTTTTTTATGTTTAGATGTATTTTTTATATATTAATATTTAGTTATTAATACGTATAAATTGCACGAACTTTAAAAATATTATAAAAAAAAATATATATTTATGACTAATTTTTTTTAAGAAAGATCTTCTGAAGTTGAATTTATCTACAAATGCTTTGAGTGGCTCTCTACCTCAAGAAATTGGGAACCTCAAGGCTGCATTTCTCATTGATCTATCAGTCAATCGATTCTCAGGTAGTATCCCAAGCACAATTGGAGATTTACAGACCTTGATTAATCTTTCCTTAGCACATAACAAACTGCAAGGATCTATTCCGGAGTCAGTGGGTAAGATGTTGAGCTTAGAACATCTCAATCTATCTCACAACAACCTTTCTGGTAATATCCCCAAGTCCTTGGAGGCACTTGAGTATCTCACATACTTGGACGTTTCTTTCAATGATTTAAGTGGTGAAGTTCCTTCTGGTGGTCCTTTCAAAAACTTTTCAAGTAAATCCTTCATGTCTAATGAGGGATTATGTGGTGATCTTATATATGGTCTTCCATCATGTCCTACTGGTAGACAAAATAGAAGAAAAGCAATGCTTGCAGTTGTATTTTCTTTGTTGGGGATTACAGTACTAATTTTGATCGTCACAGCCTTGGCATGTGTAATTGGAAGATACCGAAGGAAAAATTTGGTGGAAAATAGAGTAGACTTTGCATCTGGCACAACTCTAAGGGTCTCGTATTATGAACTTTTGCAAGCAACTGAAGGGTATAGTGAGAGCCATTTGCTTGGAACTGGGAGTTTAGGCTCTGTCTATAGAGGGACTCTCAATAATGGAAAGGATGTCGCAGTGAAGGTTTTCAATTTGCAACAACAAAATGCATTCAAGAGTTTTGATGTAGAATGTGAAGTATTACGCAAACTTCGCCATAGGAATTTGTGCAAAGTCATTAGTACTTGTTCCAATCCAGATTTCAAGGCCTTGGTGCTTGAGTACATGTCCAATGGAAGCCTTGAGAAGTGGTTGTATTCAGACGAACACGTGTTGGATATTTTGCAGAGAATTAACATAATGATAGACGTAGCATATGCATTGGAATATCTGCACTATGGCTACTCAACGCCTATTGTTCACTGTGATTTGAAGCCAAGTAATGTTCTGCTGGATGAAGATATGGTTGCTCACTTGAGCGATTTTGGAATTGCTAAGTTATTGGGTGAAGGAGAAAGCAATGCATACACTACAACCTTGGGAACATTGGGTTACATTGCACCAGGTAAAGCTCCCATCTTTTACTCTTATCTTTTCTCTTGCATTTGGTCCACTAGATTAGGCCGGATATGGGTAGTTCAAATGGTTAATATTCATATTCATTGTTAGCAAAAACAAAAACATAGTAATGCTTTAGAAAGTTTTAGATATATTGTAGATTACTATACACAAAGACATGTAATACAACTTACATATATTTCTAATGATGTGCAACACCAAACATAATACTGCTAA